CTCTATTTGCAACTTTTTGAGAAAGCGCCATACTGCTTTCCACAGGGGTTGCACCATTTTACACTCCCACCAACAGTGAATCAGGGTTCCAGTTTCTCCGCAACCTCGCCAGCATTTGTTGCTTGTTGTTCAAGATTCTTAACCTCTTAATCTGTAAGGAATTTTATGTAAGATATTGTGTGCATTTGTTCAATACTAAAACTCTATGTGAATTATTTTTATTTCCTTCTGATTATTATTCTAATTATTAGAGCAAATTAACTTTTGTGATAGGCTGAAAAATCTTGAGCTTATAACAAATCCATTTGGATCATTTAGTTATTTTTGCATTCTCATACATTATTTTTCCAGAACTGTAATAATTCTCTAGTATTACATTTTTTAAGTTAAAAAACTTCATGCTTGTTATAGAAAATATACACAAGTGAGGAAATAGTCGTTCCTTTGATCTTGGCAACCTAATGACAAGTCACTGTTAATTTTGCTCTGTACATTTTCCAGTGTTTTGTTTGCTGACTCTATTTATATTATGTATGTATATGTTTGTTACTTTAGAAAAAGTGTTGTATTCTCATTGTTTTGTAACCTGAATTTCATATTTAATACTATATCATCAGTATTTTCTGCTATATTAAATATGTTTTGGATGTTGTTGTTATGTGCCATTGAGTCAACTACACCCCATAGCAATCCTATGAACAGCAGATTTGAACCCTGTTCTATCCTGTGCCATCCTCATATTTACTGATACATTAGAGCCCATTGAGGCAATTATTGTGTCAATCTACTGAGTCAAGGCTCTTCTCCTTTGCAGACCCTCCACCTTTCTGAGCATCATGTCTCACCATCAATGGAGCAGCAACATTCATTGACATTTTGGATAGGACTATTTTTAATCAGGCTTTGAACGGATTTATTCTGATACCTCCTTGTAGAGAATTTGTATTTTGACTCAGAAATACTAAATCAGAATACATTTTGACAAGATTCCTAGGATGATCTTGTTAAAATGTATATTCCCCTGGCCCCCGGCAAAGGCTCCTGTAAACCGAAATGGTATAAAACTATTGTTATTATTGTTATGTACCATCAAGTCACTCTGGAGACTAAGGTGCGTCTGATACAGGCTATGATTTTTGCAGTCACTTGTTATGCATCAGAGAGTTGGACAATGACTAGGGAGGACAGAAGGAGAATTGATGCCTTTGAGCTGTGGTGCTGGAGAAGAGTATTGAATGTACCATGGACTGCCAAGAAAATAAACAGATTCATCCTGGAGAGGGTTAAATCAGGCTGCTCTTTAGAGGCAAGGATTCTGGGGTTTCGTCTGACATACTTTGGACATGTTGTAAGGAGGGAGAGGTCCTTGGAGGCAGACATCATGCTTGGGAGGGTGGAGGGACGGCGCAGGAGGGGAAGACCCTCTATGAGGTGGATTGATTCAGTGACTGGGGTAATTGGGATGGGTGTGTCAGAGGCAGTGCGATTGGCACAGGATAGAGCAGGGTTTAGGGCTATTGTACATAGGGTCTCTATGAGTCGCAAGCAACTCGATGGCACAGAACAACAGCAACCATCAAGTTGGAACTGGCTGATAGCTGACCCTCCAGCGGGTTTTTAGAGGCAGTGAGTCACACATGGGAATTGCCCACCATCCTCCCTCAGGGCAGCTAGTGGATTCAAACTTTGTTCCTTTGGGATGGCAGCGTAACTTCTTGCTGCTAAGCCACTAATTCTCCCAGATATTAATATTAGCCTTTCATAAAAGCAAGGGAGCTCTAGTGCTTAGTAGTAAGGAGCTACACTGACATCCCAACAGCAGGCTGTTCACATCACTAGTTGCTCTGTGGGAGAAAGATAGTCTCCTATTCTATGATTTACTGCCTCTGAAAACACACTGGAGGGTCAGCTTGAGTTGATTGGGTGGCATGTAACAATAATAATGTTAATTAAAAACAAAGATGCATAAAACAAACTTTTGAAACTCAGCAGATTCTAGTATTCCATTGATTTCTACTTTCTGATACATTCTTTAGATATTACTTTAGTAAACTAGCCAATTTCAGAAAGTGTGGGCAAATGAAGATTTGGAGAACTTGGGAAAATTCTGTAGATAACTTTTTGAAATATCCAAACTGTTTATTACTGTTCAAAATATTTTCTTGAGTGATGATTAGTTTTTACTTTCTGATGTAGAAATATAATTTATGAACACTGATGAGTGATATTTTTATCACAGGTAGGGGATATTTCATCCAGTGTGTTGTTGGAGAAGCTAACTAATAATGAAAGTCAAAATTCTGTAAGTTTTTTTTTTTTTTGTAGCTGCTTGTCTCTGGCTTTTTATTTTGTTTTGATATTGCTTACTTTTTTAAAGTAGCTATTGTTACCCAAGGTGTTTTCATTCTAACTTTCACATTTTATTTGCTGAAGAATCTTAAGAAGGAGGTACTCGAGAAGGAGATATATATCCAAGAACTTTCGAATGTGTTTCAGAATGAAAAGGTAAGCCACTTGTTATGATTTTTGAGCCTAATTCATTACTGTTTTCTTAATATTTTCCTTCCCTGCCCCCTGTCTTTACACTTCACTATCCCCCTGACCCCATATTCTTGATATTCGTGCTGCCGAATGAGCACTGACCCCATATCCTTGGAAAGAGATATATAAAAGTTTACGAAAATCCAAGATTTGATTATAATAATATTATATAGTAGTTTTATATATCAAATAACATTTTTTCTTTCTTTTTCCCCTTCTAATAATTTATTGGTTTGCATGCAATAATTTATATACATTGTGCTTTATTCATATACATTATAGTTTATACTATCTCACTGTATTTCATGCATTCATATTCCTTGTATTTTGTATAATGAGTTACTATTGATATAAACCTGTTATTACTCCATCTTTTTAAATTACCATTGAATCCCTTCATCCTCTCATCCACCCACTAACCTCTGTCATCCTAGTGATTTCCATCCTTCTTCCATTTTTTAACCCCTTCCCCTTTTGAGCATTTATACACATCTTCCTAAGTTTTCTATATTTTTATATTTCTGTATTTTTTTATTTGATTATTTTTTGTATGTGTACCATCAAATCGGATCTGACTGGTATGGGAGGAGATTGCCCCTGCTTCTCCAGCAGAGCATCTGGTGGATTTGAACTGCATACCTCTGAGATTACAGTAGCTATCCTTCTTTTTTAAAAATAGTTGTCTTATTTTATTATCTGTCCTTGTTGAGACTGAGTTATTTCATTCAGCATAATGCTTTCTAGACTCGCCCATGTTATATGGTATTTTATGAAATTGTTGTTCTTTGGTGCTGTGTAGCATTCCATTTTCTGAATGTACCACAGTTTCTCAATCCATTTGTTGCAGATGGGCTTTTGTACTCTTTCCATTTTCTTGCTTTGCTATTGTGAGTAATGCTGCTCTGAATATGACATACATATGTGCTCGTATGTATGTAGGTGAACATGAGTATTCATGTCTCAGTTCTAATTTCCTTGGAGAACACTCCTAGCAATGGAATAGGTGAATCATGTGGGAATTCTTTGTTCAGCTTTTTGTGGAAAAGCCAGACTTCCTTCCTGAGTGGTCATATCATTTTACAATCTCACCTACAGAGAGTGAGAGTTCAATCTACATCCTTTCTGGTATTTATTATTTGCTGTCCTATTAAACTTTGCTACTGAAGTGAGATAGTATCTCATTGTTGTTTTGATTTGCATTGGATTTGTTGTTCTGATTGCCAGTGATTCTGAACTTCTCTTCATATGTCTGTGGCCATCTGAATGTCTTTTTGTGAAGAGCCTTTTCATGTCTTTTGCGACTTGGTTCTTTTGACTATTTTGTTATTGGGTTGTTATTAATCTTTTTCTTGTGGAGGCCTTGTAGTATTCTATAAAATTTTGTTGTGTGACCCTTTTTTGAGATATTATTGCCAGTATTTCTCCCATTTTCCCCCCTTAGCTGTAGATTTTCTTTTTACCCTATTGGGAAAAGTTTTCAATGTACAAAGAGACTTAATGCTTGGAAGGTCTTATTCATCAATTTTATCCTCTCTTGATTGTGTGTTTGTGAGTATGTTTGCAAGTCTATTTATGCCATAGGCTAAAGCTTTGTTTTGTTACCGTTCTGTCTCTGATGATTCTTATAGTTTGAGTTTTAGCTCTGTCTCTAATTTCTTGAGTTGATTTTTGTGTATAGTGTGAGAGGTGGATCCTGTTTCAGTTTTCTGCAGGTTCAATTTTGCCAGTTTCATTTGTTGAAGTGGATATAGTTTCCCCATTTAATAAGTTTTGATACCTTGTCAAATACTAGTTGACTGCAGATAGACTTCTGGGTTCTTGACTCTATTCCTTTGGGCTGTGTGTCTGTTGTACCTATATAATTTTGTTTTAATTGCTGTGGCTGTGCAGTAGATTTTGAGATCAGGGAATGATCTGTTGGATTCTATCGACCACAATTTTATCAAGGATTTTTGCATCTGTGTTTGTGAGAGATAATGGTCTATTGTTTTTTCTTTTGGTAATATATTTACCTGAATTTGTTATTAGGATTATGCTTATTTTAGAAAATGAGTGTAGAAATGCTCCCCTTTGAAAAAAAAAGAATTTAAGTAGGTTTGATGATAGTTTGGTAGAATTTACCAGTGAGCCTTCTGGGCCAGGACTTTTTTTTTTGATCCTTTTATATCCTTGCTGTTTCTTGTTTTGTGGTATGTCTATTCAAATGTCCTACATTTGTCAGTGTCAATCTGGGTAATGTAGAGGTTTCTAGAAATTTGTCTATTTCATCTAGATTTTTAAATTTTTCATAAGATTGTGTTATTATAAATTTAATCTGATTCTGTTGTGATGTTACATCTTTCATTTCTTACTCAAGTTATTCTTATCTTTATTTCCTTTTGTTAAGTTTACCAGATGTTTGTCTATTTTATTGAGTTTTTCGTCTCAATGGTTTTCCTGTTGCTATTCCATTTCAGCTCTTGTTCTTATATTTTCTTTCCTCTCGAAGTTGTGGGATTAGCTTGTTCTTTTTTTCTATTTGCTGAAGGTGTTGAGTTGGTTTTTTTTAAAAATTTTTATTTTATTATTTTGTGTGTGTGTACCGTCAAATCAGATCTGACTGGTACAGGAGGAGATTGTTCTTCCTTCCTCAGCAGAGCATCTGGTGGTTTCAAACAGTGCACCTCTGGGATTGCAGTGCAACTTCTTGCCACTAGGCCACCAGACCTCCCCTGAGTTGTTTATTTTGCTCCTTCTTTTTTTTTATGTGTTTGTCTATTGCTCTGAACTGCCCCTAGGACTGACTGTCTTAGTTGTATCCCTGAAGTTTTGATCTGTTGTGTTTTTAATTTGTTTCAAGGAACTTACAGATCTGTTAAATTTCTTTCTAGTTGGCCTATCATTTTACTGAGAGTGGTGAGTGTGGTGCTATCCATTTCTTTCTTGAAATCTATTGTTAACCATTGTTTTATATATTTTGCAGGTCTGTAATTTGGAGCATAGATATTAACTAAGGTTATGTCTTTTTTATCTGTTTTGCCTTTAACCCTTCCATATTTTTAATGATTTTCATCCTAAAATCTGTTTTATCAAGATTAATATTGCCGCTTCTTCTTTTTTGTGGATGCTTTTTACTTGATATCTTTTTTCTTCCACATTTTGTTTTTGGTTTATTTTTTTTCCTTGTTTCTTAGATGTGTCTCTTGTAGTCAACATATTGATGGGCTTGAGGGTTTTTTACCAATTCTGCTACTCTTTTTGAGGTTATTTTTACCCATTCTGCTACTCTTTTTCTCTTGTTTGATGTATGTGAGACATTCACATTAAGTGTGGTTATTGACGGCTAGTGTTTACTGTTGCCTTTTTGATGTGTTCCATTTTCTGTTGTCCCTGCTTACTTTGGTCCATCTACTTTCTTTTGCTGTCTCTGTGTGAAGGACTCCCCTTAGTATTTCTTGTAGAGTTGGTCTTGTGTTCACGAATTTCTTAAGTTCCTCCTTCTCTGGAAATGACTGAATTCCTCCTTCATATTTGATGGACAGTTTTCTGCGTATAGGATCCTCCTTTGGCAGTTATTTTTGTTCAGTTTTCTATATATGTCATCCTCTTGCCTCTTGCTCATATGATTTCTGCTGAGAAGTTAGAGCTTAATTTAGTTAGTTCTGCTCTGTAGGTGATTGTGTTTTCCTCATGATGCTTTTCACATTCCATCTTTAGCTTTGATTTTAGAGAATTTAACTGTGCTGTCTTGATTTTTTTTCTCTTTTGGGATCTACTCTGTTTGGAGTTCACTGAGTTTCTTGAATGTGGTTTTTCTTATTTTTCATAATACCTTGGAGATTTTCTTCTAGTACTTTCCCCCACTATTTTCTCTGTGCTTACCCAGCTCCTTCCTGTTCTGGAATTTTGATCATATGTATTGTGTTCCATTTGATGTTAACTCATGTGATTCTAATATTTTCTTCATTTTCCTTATATATTTTCTCTGGGGTGTTTTTTTTTTTCTATTAAGGTCTCTTTGTGGTTCTTATTGTTTCTTGACTCTTTGTTCCATCAGTTGTATTTTTTTACATTTTTATTGATATTTTAACAAAAGTTTAAAGAAAATTTGGATTTCCAGTCATTCATTCGTGCACATCTTCCTTCTACCCCACCCTCCAGTTTGCTGCTTTTTTCTTTCTTTCTTTCTTTTTGCTCCTACAGAATGTTGGAGGATTCTGCCATACCATTTCAGTCTTAATATTCTGGATTTCTTTTTCATGAATTTCTGTTGTTTCTAGTACTATATTGGTTGTACCCTTTCTGTCTTGTAGTTTTTCTTTTAATTTTTGTGCCTATTTATTTATGGTTTCAATTCCTCCATCATTTCCTACTTCCTCAGTAGTAGTTCATGTAAGTACATGTTGATATATTTCTTTTGCCTCTTTGTCTCTGAAATATTCATTTTGTCCGCAATCTGGTCTTTCTAAGGAGAAGGCTTGCTTTGTTTTTTCATAATATTTGAAGTTGTCTGCCCCTTTCTTGACATTATGTAAAGTTCTTCTTGTTTTATGTGAGATAGTTTCTGTTGTCTGCATAGGTTGTTGACAGAACCTTATCTTTATGATGGTATTGATAAGTTGCAGACTAATTATTGCTTCCATTCAGTTTCCCAGTGTCAATCTTCACTGCTGGTCATCTGTGTGGGTTTTTCTCATTTTGCTGTGGCAAGCTTCTCATCTGGCTGTCCTTTGAGGAACAGGGCTTTGGTCTCTCCTTTTGTCCCAGCTATGGTAAACCCATGTCTCTGTCCTGTCCTATAGTTCTATTGGGTGTGGAGTGGTTTTCCTGAGGTGTAGGCGAAGTCTCAGGAGTGCTACCTTGGATATATTGCTTGGGGAAAAGGCCCAGAAAAAAAAAAGTCCCAACAGTTCAGTCCCCAAGTACTAGTAGGTGCTAATATCAGACCTGCTTACCTTTAGTTATGTGTTTTTGTTTGTTTGGTTTATTTTTTAAATTAGATTTTATGTTGTATAATGAATCAGCTAAGGTATGTGGCATAAATCACTTTTATTTTTCCTGTTTATTTTTAAATTTTTTTTTAATTTAAGTGAAAGTTTATAAATTGTAGTGGCTTTTCATTCAGTCATTTATATGACTGGCATAAGTCACTTTAAATTAGTAACTGTGTAAGTGTGTGTTCCATTTCAAATTAGGGATAATGTAAGCCATTAAATAATTTTTGTATTTATAAGAAATTTTTTTAAGTGTTCATATCTGTAGCCTTTGGAGAATAGAGGGTAATTTTTTAAAAGAGAGAGGTATGAGGATCCATTAAATAAAGGATAAGGAGAAAACTTATCATAGGTTTGCATTAGTTGTGTGTGCATGTGGTGGGGGAAATGTAAAATTATTGGAAAATTATTATTTTTTTAATCTGCTTTTTCCTCTTCTCTCTTACAGGCAAATGCTTTGAAAGCAAACCGTTTTTCACATTCAGTTAAAGTTGTACATGAAAGACTGCAACTCCAAATTAATAAAAAAGAATCAGAGAATGAGAAATTGAAAGAATATGTAAAGGTTGTAAAATATTCATGAATTTTTATAGTTTATATGATAAAATAATGCAAGGCTATAAAGCCACTTGAATATTCTGGAATGTCATGTTATGGGGGGAAAACACCTTCAGTCTTGAGTATTGCCATGGGTAATATATATAATACATACATAAGGCACGTATTTAGGTTTCTGACCAATCTAAAGATTTCAGATGTCAGTATAAAAATATTCTCTTTTTTATACAGCATTATTGGAAGAATTTGTAGAGATAGAATTACTTGAACTTTTTCCTCATTTTACAAGTTATTTATGTTTATTATAGAAAGTGTATAATTTCTAAATTAGGGAGAGTACCAAGAAGAAAATAGAAGAACTGTAGAAAGACACTGACATTTTTGTGTTGTTCTTCTTAGGTGCTATCAAGTTGGTCCCCACTTAGAGTGGCCCTATGCAGCACAGTCTGCGGCCCTTCATGGGTCACCCTCATCGTCAGTCGTTATGTTTGAGTCCATTGTTCCAATCTGCCTCACTGACGATCTTCTTTTTCACTAACCTACTGTACAAATCATGATGTCTCTCTCCAGGGCCCGTTTCCTCTTGACATGTCTTCACTACATGAAACAAAGTCTAGCCTTCCTACCTTGAAAGGAGCGTATTGGCTCTATTTCTTCCAAGGCAGGTCTGATTGATTTTCTGGCAATCCGTTAGGTTTTTGCCGACAGTAATTCAAATGTCTCAGTTCACATGTGTGTGCAGCTTTCTGACATCAAGTCAATTCTGATTTTGAGCAACCAACTAGGGCAGAGTAGAACTGCTCTTCCTTCAGGTTTCTAAGGCTGTATATTTTCACAGAAGCAGACTGCCTCGTCTTTCTCTCAGACTGCATCTGGTGGATTCAGAAAATCCATCATTCTGCTTAGCAACACATTGGTAGTACCACCCATGTTCCTCACCTACAAATGAGGTGGTTGAAAAGACTATGGCTTGGGTAATGTGCACCTTAGGCCTCAGAGTGGCATCTTTGCTTTTTAACATTTAAAGAAGTCTTTTGAAGTGCATTTGCCCATTGCAATTATCATTCTTTGTTTTATATTTATACAGACATGCATAATAATATATGTATTTAGTAAACAGGCACTACTTTTTAAAATATTTTTGTGTTTGTTACGAATAGCAGTACTTTTAAAATCCATTAACTTAGCTTTGCCTTTGAGGTACATGAGTAATCCCCTTATTCTAAACTTTCAGCAATTTATTAAGAGGAATTGCTTTGGTTTAAACTAAATCGTTTCGGTAGCCTTTTGAAGGTCTCACAGTTACTTGAGATCATAATTTGAGGTCACTGTGACATGGACACAGACTGTCTGTCGTTTCTTCTGCCATAGGAAAAGCAGTGTTGCGCTTTTAGAGACATACACAATGACTTTGTACCCCACTGAGTGTGGAACCCCTAATTTAGAATTTTGGTTGGTTTTGCACTCCTGAATCATAGCAGAGGACTGAGATCTTCTCTGTAGCACATGTTTCAAGATTGCCCACAGAGTGACTCTTGGCAAAAAAGCTTTTGCCCCATAAGAAGGCAGACTTAATGGAGAATGTAAAATGTCAAGTGTCTTGTTCACTACAAGTCCTTCTAAGCCCTTTCCTCCCTTGGCTCCTATGTCATGTGGCAATGCAGAAGACCTGGACATGGTATTGCCTTGTTCTGTCATGGTAAATAAAAGACCAGTTCATGTGATTTATTAGATAATCATTGGATACAATTTAATTTCTATACAATGACTATAACAATATACTCCAGCAAAGCAGAAATTGTGAGGATTACTCAGGATCAGGCAGTGTTTCTGTTTACATCAGGCCCTTCTGAGTTGGAACTGACACAATGGACCATGCAACACTATTATTTAATTGTTGTTGTTGTTGTGTACCATTGAGATGGAACTGACCCGTAGTTGACCCTCCAGAGGGTTTTCAGCGGCAGTTAATCACACCTAAGGAGATTGCCTATCTGTGTCCCTTGAAGCAGCTGGTGGGCTCGAAACCTCCTGCCTTTGAGATTGCAACACAGCTTCTTGCTCCTAGGCCACCAGAGTTCCCTTTTATGTCATTATGTTTCAAAATAGCAGTTATGGGAAATTCTCAATAATATTTTCCACTTAAAATATTATGGTGTTTTGTGTCTGATGCTGCTTGCTTCTGTTCAACAGTGGGCCTGGATGTGTAATTGACTGTTGGTTTATGCTGTCTTAAGAAAGGGGGAGATATCCAACTGACTCCACTAGTGAGACTTTAGTTAGTACATCTACAAGGTTCTGTTCAAGTAAATTATTTTTGAGATGTTAAAAAACAACAACTAGGTTGATGTTGTTTTTAGGTGCTATTGAGTTGTCTTCAACTCTTAGTGACCTTAGGAACATCAGACTGAACATTGCCCTAACCCATCCTGCACCATCCTCACAATTTCTGCTATGCTTGAACCCACCGTTACCAGTCATTGTGTCAATCTGTTTTGCTGAAGGTCTTCCTCTCTCTGACCCTCTTTTTCCAAGGACTGTGTTCACTTCTGACAAATGCTTTAAGAACAGGACACAAAGTTTTCACCGTCTTAGTCTCTAAGGAGCACCCTGGTTACACTTCGTCCAAGATAGACTTATTGGTTTTTTTGCAGTCCATGGGATCTTCAGTGCTCTTCTCCAACACTACAACTCAAAGGCATCAGTTCTGTCCTAATTATTCATTGACCAACTTTCAGATGCATAGAAAGTCATTGAAAAGATTCTGAGCTGGATCAGATGTGCTTTATTCTTTTAACTGATGTTAAGTAAATTGAATGGAATCCTTTCTCTATATACACAATAATCAGGGTGGAAAAGAATGTAGAGCTAAAATTGTTAGATTTTTGCTCAGACTTTTTCTTAATTCTTTGAGTTCAGACTCCTTTTAAAATGTTGTTTAAAAATGTTTTTAAAATGTTACATTTATAATTATTTAAAATAAGCTTCATTAAGTTGTTTCTTTTTTAATATTCCTTCTCTTACACATACACATTTGGGATATAAGGCAGATGGAGGTCAAAATTTATTTCTTCAGTATAGTTTTAGCAATATTTTTCTAGAGTTGCAACAGTGAACTCCGTATACAACATAAATATCAGTTTTAGCTATATAAATTAAGTCAGTTCCTTGTATTATTGTTAAATTACATCATAATTCTCTGAAAATGTGCTTTGGAGAGTTATACTTGGGACCAATTTTTCTTTCTCCAGCTTTGTAATGTAGAAATTATAATATCTTCGACATTTTAAGAGATACAGAATGAATCGTTATTTTAAATATGTGCTATGAATTACAAGTGAGGTTGTCTTCCCCGGAACCTTGTGTAGCTATACCATCTGTTAATTAATGGTGCAATGCTGACACCCTGTGGTGTTTTAAAGGAATGACAGCTATATCCTGTGATGGTTCTCACAGAGAAACTTTTTTTTTTATTTTATTTTTTATTTTTAACTTTTTTTTTTTACAGAGGTTTTGGATTTCCATTCATTCATTGCCGCAGTTTTCTCCCTGCCCACCCCTCCCCACCAGCTCGCTTCCCCCTCCGAAGAGAGAGAGAGAGAGAAAAAAAAATTCCTTCATTAGTATACAATTCCCCCATCCCCTACCCCGAGTACACTTCTCTATGCAACCTTAATTCTGGATTCCTGTGCTAACCATAATAATCATATATCACTTCTAATCTGTTCTTTCCCTCATCTGTTTCAATACAATATACATAATTTATCCAGTTTTTCCTGTCATACCCTCACCCTGATGTCAGACCCATTCTACAACAGTGGCACCATGCAGTATTTGTCCCTTTGTGACTGAGATATTTCACTCAGCATAATGTCCTCCAGGGTCACCCACTTTGAATAATATTGCATAAGTTCCTTGTTTTTCAATGCAGCGTAGTATTCCATTGTGTGAATATACCACAGCTTCTCTATCCATTCGTTTGTTGATGGGCCCTTAGGCTGCTTCCAACTCTTTGCTATTGTAAACAAAGCTGCAATAAACATGGGTGTGCATATATCTGCTTGGATGGCAGACATGGTCTCTCTGGGGTATATTCCCAGTAATGGGATTGCTGGGTCAAATGTTATCTCTATTTGCAATTTTTTGAGAAAGTGCCACACCGCCTTCCACAATGGTTGTTGCACCATCTTACATTCCCACCAACAGTGAATAAGGGTTCCAGGTTTTCCACAACTCGCCAGCATTTGTTGCTGGCTGTTCTGTTAAACTTTGCTATTCTGACTGGGGTGAGATGATATCTCATAGTTGTTTTGATTTGCATCTCTCTTAGAGCTAGGGATTTTGAACATTTCTTCATGTGCTTGTTGGCCATCTAAATGTCTTCTTTGGTGAAGTGTTTTTTCATATCCTGTGCCCATTTTTCTATTGGATTCTTTAGTTTTATCTTGTTGTGGTGCTCAAGTATTTTATAAATTCTAGATAGAAGTCCCCCATGTGACATGTCATTCCCAAACACTTTTTCCCAGTCTGTGGCTTCCTTTTTTACCCTGTTGGAGAAGTTTTTGGATGTGCATAGGGATATATCCTGTGATAGTTCTCACAGAGAAACACTCTTTAGCTTTATTCTATCTTGTCTGTCAACAGATTATTTTAGCATTGTTTTTCCTATTTTCTTACCAAAATGGAGATTTTTTAAAATTTTAATGAGTTTATAAAGAACTATTTTGATATGTATTTCTTGATCTCAGTCTTAATAAAAGTTAAGAAGTATACATCTTTTTAATTGTATGGTTAAGTATGACAGCCCTTTTTTTTCTGTTTTACTGTGATACCTTTGACATAATTTTTTTTAATTAAGATAACTGAAAAAGGGAAAGTCAAAACTTAAATTCTGTGATAATTTTTTCTCATATGTTGCTCTTGTTGTTATGTGCCTTCGAGTCGTTTGCGATTCATAGCGACCATATGTACAAGAGCTCTAAATGCTGTTCTATCCTGTGCCAACCTCATAGACTTTTTTTTTAAATTTGAGGAAAAGTTCAAAAATCGTGCTAGGTTTTCTCATTCAGTTATTAATATATCTTTTAGTTGATAACATAGTAACTACAATTACAGTAGATCATGCATATACATTTTTGTAACGTTAATTACAATAGATTAAAATAATCAACTAGTTGCAGTGTCTGATCAGTGTACTTTATCTTGTCTTATTCCGTTCTCCCAGCTTAGTTATTTATTATCTTTTATTCCCCTCTCCCTCGTGTCTCATCACTAGTTCTCATCCAAATTTACTTCTTTCTGTAGCTTTTTTATACTAGTGGTTTTATACTATAATAATCCCTTTTGACAAACTGATTTTACTTAGCATCATTTCCTCTAGAAGCATCCCTTCTGTGCGGTGTTTCATGCTTCTCTGTGGTGGTGCTAATTTCTTGTTCTGTCTATTCTTTAGTGTTGAGTTAAGATGATATGTGGCTTTCCCTGCCATTTCTTTCATTGCTATTAGTGTTTTCTGAATCTTTATGATTTTCTTATTTTTTATTTTTTTTACTTGAGTGAAGGTTTATAAATCATAGTAGTTATTTATACAGTTACTCATAGATGTGCCCTCTCAAGTTGGAACTGACTCATGGCTGACCCTCCAGTGGGCCTCCAGAGGCTATAATCTCATGGGAGGAGAAGCACATCTTTTTCCTTCTGACCAGCTGGTGGATTAGAACCCTGTGCCTTTGGGTTGAGAGGACAGTTTCTTACCCCCTAGACCATCAGAGCTCCCTTGTAGAATTTTGGTTTTAACAGTTGTCCTTGATTAATTTGGGTTTTTAACAATTACCATTGATTAATACAAATTTCTAATCAGCCCTTTCTTTTTATCCAACTTATCTGTTTATTGAGTGTGACTCCCTTTTCCCTTCTTTCCTATCCCTGTTATCCTGTCAAGATTGATTCTGAGTGTAAACCTTTCCTTTGCACTTTATAATAATGGTCGTTGTATTTTGGTGACTACCTTATATCCACTTTCCATTTCCCTATATTACTTTCTAAATTCATCCACATTGTGTAGTATTTCACAATTTCTTGATCATTTTTTTAGTGCTGTGTAAGAATCTGTTATGTGAATGTACTAGAATTTTCTTAGCCATTTGTCCATTGATGAGCACTTGAGTTGTTTTCACCTCTTTGCTAGTGTAAATAATGCTGCAGTAAACATGGGTAAACGTGTGTATATTAGCTTGTGTCACAGATCTTATTTCTTTGGGACGTATACCTAGTAGTGGGACTACTGGTTGCATAGCATTTCTATTTCCGTCTTTCTAAGGAATGATCATCATTCATTCTGATGGAAGATTACTTATTTTCTTGGAGATTGCTTTATAAATCACTATCACCTGAAGCTTCTTTTCCGACAGCTGTATCTCCATTGCACTCAGTGGAAGTAAATGGCATTCTTGAAATAGGTCAGAATCTCCTTGTAGTGAAAGCAAACCCACACACATGCAAGATGATGGACACAAATTCCTTCCTACTTTGTATTTATTTTCAGCACCTGTTCTGTGTGCTTTTTAACCTCTACCTATTGCACTGTTGTGACTTGTTGGCCATTATATGATTTTTGTACGGGGGAAAAAGCTTTCTTTTAGAAATCAGCATACTATTCTTTTTTAAATCTGGAGAGAAGATATTATGGTGACTGAAAATATGGTCAAATGTCATATATAAAATGTATAAAAGCCTTGCTGTCCTGTCTACCATATTACATTTTATATTGGCTGGAAATATTAAAGATTTTCATTTGTGTAACTCTAATTTCTGTCAAGGTGTCATGGATTTTTAAAATTAGTATTTCATTGCAAATGTCTCAACATTGGTTCATTTTCATCAAGACCATTATTAATCAAGTAAATAAATTCAATAGCCATTTGGGAGGAAAAAAGTTGATTTTTTAATTTTTTAAAATACATTATTTCCTTGAAATAATGAAAGATCCTTATTACCAGTGAATAAAGAATTGGTTTAGGTAGCTCTTCAAAGTCTAGAAGTAACAACATGCTTTGTTTCCAAATAGCTTTGTGTTTGTCACCCTTACAAATTTATCACTCCTAAGTGTCCAAGGGGAGGCAGGAGTGGCATCCACTTCCGAAATGGCTTGCCTCCGGAAACTCTATGTACGAACAGTGCTCAGGCCGTTCGTTCATAGGATCACTATGAGTCGTCTATGACTCAACGGCATCAAACAACAACAACAACAACAACATTTATTCTGAAGTGCAACCAGGGTGCTTCTTAGAGGCAAGGCGTGTTGTCAGGCAGGACCAATCCTTGGAAAAAGACATCATATGGAAAGGTGAGGATCAGAGCAAGAGAGAGCCCTTGAACAAGATAGGTTGACACAGTGACTGTGACCATGGGTTTGAGGACGTGAGATATTGTAAAGGTGGCATAGGGTAGGGAAAGTTTCCGATCTGCTGTTTATGAGTTGTAATTGACTTGACAGCACAGAACAGCAACAACAATAACAGTTTATCTTGAAATCTCCGTGACTTCTACATTTAGCAGTTTTGTAACTGCACTTCTTGTTCTCTCTTTTTGCTTTGTAGTTGTTGTCATGTACAGTCTGGTATCTCTTATCTCATGCTTTTGTGTATTATACCTTGTATGATGCTGTGTCCAGGCTAGTTTCTGAATGATGTTGTCTTGTATGTTAATTTTGGAAGATGTCATTGGATCTCAGCTCCAAACAACTCCCATTAGGATTTCTTGTAAGGTTGGTCTAGTTTTCATGGATTCCCTTGGTTTCTGTTTATGTAGAAATATTATATTCATTCTCTTTTGTAAGTAGGACTGCTATTCAAAATGATCTTGTTAACCTATTTACAATTCTGTGCTCAGTTTGTCTTCTTATTCAGTATTCTCCATCTGTTACTTCTCTCAGTCAGTGTTTGAAGTGCTTCTTATCTTTTCCGTTTGACCCTCACAGTTCCAGAATTATACTCTGTATTTGCTATCATGGTTGAAGAGGGTCGTGGGCTCCTATCTACCTAGTCTGCTGTCTTACTCAGAGGTCCTTTCTCTATTACACAGCTTTCAAAATATTTGTAAAAGCATTAAAGAATTATCTTTAAAATGCCTTGAAATAAAACCAGTAGAACCATACTAAATCATATTCATCATTCATTCAGCTTGTTTGGGGTTTTTCTTTTGTCAAGGAATCTACCGAAAGATATCTATGCTGTTTAACACTGTAGGCATATTTATGTTTCTGATAACTATTAATTGATATAAACTTGCATTTACTTTTGAGTTCTTAAATTTACTGCTTATTGACTAAAACAGTGTTTTTACTGACCTAAATGTAACTTAAATGTCAAGGTCTATCTCCTAATTCTAGCAAATTAAACCTTACTACATAAAACTATGTTCACTGTGTCTGTATCCCCCATGACTTAGATTTTGATCATACCGCTGTTAAACTTTTATCTTTTTGAACTGAAGAATCATAATAAATTTGAAAGTTACCAATTCCTTTGAGCTTTGCATATGTAGTAGATTATCTCCAGTTCAGAGCTGAACAATGACTAATGATGGCAGAAGAAGAATTGATGCCTTTAAGTTGTAGTGTTGCAGAAGAGTCTTGAACATATCATGAACCACCAAGAAAACAAGTAGATCTGTCTTGGAAAGAGTGAGTGAAGCCAGGTTTCTTCTTGGAGGCTTGGATTTTGAAGCTCCGTCTCACATATTTCGGGCACGTGGCCAGGAGGGACCAGTTCTTGGAGAAAGACATCAGGCTCAGAAGGGTGGAGAGATAGTGCAGGAGAGGAAGGTCCCAGATGAGAGGGACTGTTACAGTAACTGGGGCAATGAGGGTAGATGTGTTGGAGTCAGTGAGATTGGGTCAGGACAAGGCAGGCTTCAGAGCCATATACATAGGGTCACTAAAAAGTTGCAGGTGACTCAGTGACACATAACAACAACTAGTACTATGTATAATTTTCTAGATGTGAATATTTTTTAAAATATTATCACAAAAAACCTTTTAATTAAATTAGTGTTTGTATAATAACCAGTAATATAACATTTTAATAAGTAGCTTAATTATATATCAATTTAAAACATATATACGTGTCTATATACTGATATATTTTAAATTTACATTTTCAGCATTATATGTAAACATTACTGAAATATTATTCCTTTACTGTCTTGCTTTTTGTTAACCTGTAATTGTTTTGATAATCCTCCTACCTGTCCAGAAGATTTTTTAATGTATTTTATGAGGTTTATTAATTGTTGGTAATTTTTTTAGACCTTAGAAACCAAGATAGCTGAATGGAATTTGCAAATGAGAAAGAGTAAGCATGAAGCTGTATTAATCAAAGAATCAGGAAGGCTGAAAGCTGTAGCTCTAAAGAAAGCATCTAAAGCTTACAAACAAAGGCTTGAACATTTCACAGAAAACATTGAAAGCCTTACTTCCCAAATTAGAGACAAGGTGAGTGTATATATTCTCTTTTAAAGATACAAACTATGCTTTTTTACTTTTTGAGGAGAAGAGTGAATTGGAGGGGCGCAGGGAGAAAAGTGCAACAATGAATGACTAGAAACCCTAAGTCTCTGTAAACTTTCATTAAAATTAATAAAAAAATAATTAAAAAAAGATACAAACTATGTTCTTAGGTGTATGTGTATTTAGTTTGTGTAATTATGCTTCTCTTAATGCAGTTAATATTCTAAATACTGAGCACTGAACTTTCCTTACACTTTATGCTTTAATGTTCTATCCTCAAAGATGTCAAATTTATATCTTGAATTATACCAGTATTTACTTTGGAACACTGCTTAAGAGAGGTATTAAGCTGTCTCTCTCACTTCACATCCCCCCACCCCATATGAGGCTTGCACACCACCCCACAGAACCTTATACAATCCCCCTATACAGGCTTGCAAACCCTGCCCCCCATACACACACACAACACACACATACAAAAGTTCTCTGGCTGACTAAGTAAGGAAACATTTCACATTATTTCATGAGAATTCTCCCTTGGAAATTCCAGTGTATATTAGCATTTTAAAGGTCCTGAGAAGGCCTTCAGAAATACTGCAATGTAATTAATTCTGCTGAACTCAGAGTCTCCCACACTTAATGTAACCACAGAACTCTTCTTTTCCTCACAAAGCAACTTTTGGAACTGGTTCTGAGGAACACCAGTTTGAGAAATGCTGATTTATGTTATTAGACCATATGACTTTATTCAGTAATTTACTTCATTTAATCTGTGTAATGCGTTTAAACCCATATTCTGACGTAAAGACACCATGTGAAAGATATCTTCGAGTGCAATACAGAGTTGAAAAATGAACTTAGCCCTTTGTTGTTTTTGATGAATTATATTTATTCAATTACCAGTTACTAAAATATTTACCCTTTTTAATGCCTCAATGGTAATCTTAGGAATTTAGATTATAGACCATAGAATTAGTAGATGTTTTTAGAAATGAAAACAGATTTGCTTGAAAGTGTTTGTAAACAAAACAGCTTAGTAATTTATTATCTTAAGAGTTAGCATCTAATACTCTTAATGTTTAACCTACATTCTGAAGAATTTAATTAGATAATGTTCAAAGTTTAAAGGATGAAACTTGGGGAATACCTGAAGATATTGATGAGTGGGGAAAACTAATTGAGACATTAACATTCTTAGAGTTCTTCTATGTAAACAGCATCATCTATGTCCCAAATCATTGTATATAAGAAAGCTCTGTCATTTGTGAAACTTGTGACCTTTGTGAAGTGATTTAACCATTCTAAGTCTCAATGTTCTCATCTCTGAAAGGGAGCATGTGAAGGATTGAATCCTTCCTGTTCCTCCTGCCAAACATATTATGTATTTACAACATACTGACTTTTATGCTTGTGGCTATGATTTCATTTGAAATTGATTGTTTTGATTAGGCTAATAAGGCAAGATTAGTGTTGTTGTTGTTATGTAGCTTCTAAACCCACTCACAGCTAACTCTCTGTTGAGTTTTCAGAGGCAGTAAACTACACAGGAGGAGGCTGCCCGTTTTCTTCCATGGAGTAGCTGAAGTATTCAAACTGCCTGCCTTTGGGTTGGTAGCCCAACTCCTTACCACTAAGCCATCTGAGATCATTATGTGAATGAAACAGGATTACTGTAGGTGTGTTTTAAATCAATCTCTTTAGGGAGCTCTGGAGATGTAGTCCGCAGGGAGTTGCAGTGCTAACCCAATGGCAATACCTCTTTGCCTGTTCTAATCTGCCAACAACTCTGTGGAAGGAAATGGGTAATGTTTTCCTGTGTGATTTACAACATGTTCAGGCCCACTGTCACTGTGTCAATCAATGTTGAAAATCTTCCTCTTTTTTCTATGACCACCTTCTGTAGCATGATATTTTTCCCTAAGAACTGAGCTCTCCTGATCACATGCTTGAAGTATATGAGACAAAGTTTAACCATCCTTGCTTCTAAGGGATGCTCTGATTGCACTACCCCATGTCCTTCTCTTCACCAATACCACAGTTTAAAGGCATCGATTCTTCTTTGGTCCTCTCTAGTCATTGTCTACTTTCAGATACATAGAAAGCAATTGAAAATATCACGGTTTTGATCCAGTGCAACTTTGTCTTAATGTTGTTGGTGGTGGTGGTGGTAGGTGCCATGGTAGTCTACTACAACTCAACCTTTTGGACAACAGATCTCAACTTTGCCCTGCCCTTCACCATCACCATGATCTCTCATACTCATTGTGGTCATCACTGTGTCAATCGATCATACTGAGCATCTTCCTCCCTTTCTCTGGCCCTTCACCTTTCTCTTCATGATGTTACTCTCTACAGATTGGTTCATTCTAAGAAAATGCCCAAAATAAGTGAGATGAAGTTTTACCCTTCTTGCCTGTAAGGAGCATGCTTGTGGCACTTCTTTCAAGACAAGTTTGTTGGCTCTCTTGGCAGTCTGTGGTATATTTTATATCTTTTACCAGCACTGCAATTCAAAGACCTTGATTCTCCTTCAGTCTTCTTTATTCAGTGCCCAGCTTTCAGATTCATAGGAAGCAACTGAAAAGAACATGGCTTAGATCACTGTGCCTTGGTCTTTAAATTGACATTCTTGCTCTTTAGAACTTAAAATTAAATCATTGACCGTTTCAGTCTTTTCTCATGGTGCTTAATGATCCATTTGTGAGAATTTTTGTTTTCCTGATAAGGTGCAACTTACATTGAAGACTGTAGGCTTTGATCTTCCTCGGTAAATGCTTCAAGTCTTCATTTTCTGCAAACAGAGTTGTGTTATCTGCACAACACAGGTTGTTGATGAGTCTTCCTCCAGTTTTGGTGACACACTTCTCCTCATAAAAGCCCAGCCTTCCAGATAATCTGTTCTGCATATGTTGTTGTTGTTGTATGTGCCATCGAGTCGCTTGCGACTCATAATGACCCTATGTACAACAGCCCTAAACTCTGCTCTGTCCTGTGCCAATCGCACTGCCTCTGACACTCCCATCCCGATTATCCCAGTCCCTGAATTAATCCATTTCATAGCAGGCCTTCTCCTCCTGCACTGTCCCTCCACCCTCCCAAGCATGATGTCCTTCTCCAAGGACCAGTCTCTCCTCACAACATGTCCAAAGTATGTTAGA